TGTGCCTTTAAACAGCTTGATACATTCCAGAAAATGATGTCATGGCTTTAGAAGCTTCTGATAGGCTAATTGACATAATTTGAGTCAATTGGAGGTGTACCTGTGGATGTATTTCAAGGCCTACCTTCAAACTCAGAGCATCTTTGCTTGACATCATGGGAAAATCAAAAGAAATCAGCCAAGCCTTCAGAAAAAAAATTGTAGACCGCCACAAGTCTGGTTCATCCTTGGGAGCAATTTACAAACGCCTGAAGGTACCACGTTCATCTGTACAAACAATAGTACGCAAGTATAAACACCATGGGACCACGCAGCCGTCATACCGCTCAGGAAGGAGACGCGTTCTGTCTCCTAGAGATTAACGTAATTTGGTGCGAAAAGTGCAAATCAATCCCAGAACAACAGCAAATGACCTTGTGAGATGCTGGAGGAAACAGGTACAAAAGTATATATATCCACAGTAAAAACGAATCCTATATCGACATAACCTGAAAGGCCGCTCAGCAAGGAAGAAGCCACTGCTCTAAAACCACCATAAAAAAGACAGACTACGGTTTGCAACTGCACATGGGGACAAAGATCGTACTTTCTTGAGAAATGTCCTCTGGTCTGATGAAACAAAAATAGAACTGGTTGGCCATAATGACCATCGTTATGTTTGGAGGAAAAAGGGGGTCGCTTGCAAGCCGAAGAACACCATCCCAACCGTGAAGCACGGGGGTGGCAGCATCATGCTGTGGAGGTGCTTTGCTGCAGGAGGGACTGGTGCACTTCACAAAATAGATGGCATCATGAGGAAGGACAATTATGTGGATATATTGAAGCAACATCTCAAGACATCAGTCAGGAAGTTAAAGCTTGGTCGCAAATGGGTCTTCCAAATGGACAATGACCCCAAGCATACTTCCAAAGTTGTGGCAAAATGGCTTAAGGACAACAAAGTCAAGGTATTGGAGTGGCCATCACAAAGCCCTGACCTCAATCCTATAGAACATTTGTGGGCAGAACTGAAAAAGCGCGTGCGAGCAAGGAGGCCTACAAACCTGACTCAGTTACACCAGCTCTGTCAGGAGGAATGGGCCAAAATGCACCCAACTTATTTTGGGAAGCTTGTGGAAGGCTACCCGAAACGTTTGACCCAAGTTAAACAATTTAAAGGCAATGCTACCGAATACTAATTGAGTGTATGTAAACTTCTGACCCACTGGGAATGCGATGAAATAAATAAAAGCTGATATAAATAATTATCTCTACCATTATTGTCACGCCCTGGCTCTGGGACTCTGTTATGTTGAGCCAGGGTGGGTTGTTTCTATGTGTTTTGTGTGCTAGGTTGTTTATCTAGTTCGTTTGTTTCTATGTTGGCCGGTGTGGTTCTCAATCAGAGGCAACGTGAATCAGCTGTTGCTTGTTGTCTCTGATTGGGAACCATACTTAGGTAGCCTGTTTTTCCACAGTGTTTGTGGGATCTTGTTCCGTGTTTGGTTAGTGTCTATTGCCAAGGACTTCACGTATCGTTTTGTTGTGTTGTTTCGTGTGGTGAATCAATTAAAAGTATGTTCGCATATCACACTGCGCCTTGGTCCACTTCCTCCAACGATCGTGACAGAAGATCCCACCATAACTGGACCAAGTAGCGTGTCCAGGAGCCAACGTAAGAGGTGACTCTGATGGATGTCCACTTCGACTGGGTCAAGCAGCGTGAGGAGGAGAGAGGCTGGACTTGGGGGCAGAGGAGCGAGAGTCTGGCGAGAGCCATGGAGGCCTGGCCCACGGGGAAGAGAGACGCCCAGAACATTTTTAGGGGGGGCTCACGCCGTGGACGATGGGGCAGCAGGAGGCCGGGATAGAGTGGTTCAGCGGGTTGGCAAAGGAGGCCGCCAGGTTACGGGAGTCACTGGTCACCAGGGGGAAGGAGAATGTAGAGGCACGGCGAGAGGTACTGGGGTGTGTTGCCAGTCCGGTCCGGCCCGTTCCTGATCCCCGCGTAGGGCCAGTGGTGTGTGTCCCCAGTACGGTCCGGCTTGTTCCTGTCCCTCGCACCGAGCCTGTGATGCGCGTCGCCAGCCCGGTCCGGCCTGTTCCTGCTCCCCGCACCAAGCCAATGGTGCGCGTCGCCAGCCCGGCCCGGCCTGTTCCTGCTCCCCGCACCAAGCCTATGGTGCGCGTCGCCAGCCCGGCCCGGCCTGTCCCTGCTCCCCGCACCAAGCCTATGGTGCGCGTCTCCAGCCCGGCCAGGCCTGTTCCTGCTCCCCGCACCAAGCCAATGGTGCGCGTCGCCAGCCCGGCCCGGCCTGTTCCTGCTCCCCGCACCAAGCCAATGATGCGCGTCGTCAGCCCGGTCCAGCCCATTCCTGCTCCCCGCACCAAGCCTGTGGTGCGCATCGTCAGCCCGGTCCGGTCCGTTCCTGCTCCCCGCACCAAGCCTGTGGTGCGCGTCGTCAGTCCGGCACAGCCCGTGCCTGGTTCACTGGTGCCTGCTCAGGTACCGGTTAGCTGCTCCACATCGGAGCCTGAGCGATCCGCTCCACCGATGTCCAGTCCAGATCCAGCCAGCAGGGCCAGACCGGACCAGGGGCGCTATGGGCGGTGTGTTGGAGGGTGGGGGTCAAGCCCGGAGCCGGAACCGCCTCCGAGGAGGAATGCCCACCCGGCCCTCCCCTGTTCGGTTTATGTTTGGCGCGGTCGCAGTCCGCGCCTTTGGGGGGGGGGGGGGGGGGGGGGTACTGTCACGCCCTGGCTCTGGGACTCTGTTATGTTGAGCCAGGGTGGGTTGTTTCTATGTGTTTTGTGTGCTAGGTTGTTTATCTAGTTCATTTGTTTCTATGTTGGCCGGTGTGGTTCTCAATCAGAGGCAACGTGAATCAGCTGTTGCTTGTTGTCTCTGATTGGGAACCATACTTAGGTAGCCTGTTTTTCCAGTGTTTGTGGGATCTTGTTCCGTGTTTGGTTAGTGTCTATTGCCAAGGACTTCACGTATCGTTTTGTTGTGTTGTTTCGTGTGGTGAATCAATTAAAAGTATGTTTGCATATCACGCTGCGCCTTGGTCCACTTCCTCCAACGATCGTGACAATTATTCTGACATTGCACATTCTTAAAATAGAGTGGTGATCCTAACTGACCTAAAACAGGGAATTTTTACTAGGATTAAATGTCAGGAATTGTGAAAAACTGAGTTTAAATGTATTTGGCTAAGGTGTATGTAAACTTCCAACTTCAACTGTATGTTCTTAGTCAACTTACCTGGTAAAATAAGGGTAAATAAATACATAATCTGGGTATAACTAGAATGAGTAAAGTAGAACAAACCCTTTCAACATTATTCTTTCTGTTTGACATTTTAACATTTTAGTCATTTAACATTTATGCTGTTATCCAGAGTGACTTACAGTTAGTACATTAATCTTAAGATAGCTCGGTGAGACAACCCCATATTACAGTCGTAGTAAGTACACATTTTCTCAATAAAGTAGTTATCAGCAAATTCAGAGCTAGTAGGAAAATATGTAGTGACCTATGTCACCCTTTATACAGTATGACTTTGCTTATAAATATTTATTAAGCACCTATGTAGTTTATGAAGATGTTATGAATGCTCTATACATGTGTAGCTGCTAAGACTGATCATGATTTCCAGATGTGTTTAATGGGTTCCTTTGAGTTATTCTCAAGAAGACATCCCACTCAACATAATGTGTTCCTTTAGGCTATGTTCTAGAAGACATCCCACTCTACATAATGTGTTCCTTTAGGCTATGTTCTAGAAGACATCCCACTCTACATAATGTGTTCCTATAGCCTATGTTCTAGAAGACATCCCACTCTACATAATGTGTTCCTTTAGGCTATGTTCTAGAAGACATCCCACTCTACATAATGTGTTCCTTTAGGCTATGTTCTAGAAGACATCCCACTCTACATAATGTGTTCCTTTAGGCTATGTTCTAGAAGACATCCCACTCCACATAATGTTGGGTTAAAACCACTCTACATAATGTGCTATGTTCTAGAAGACATCCCACTCTACATAATGTGTTCCTTTAGGCTATGTTCTAGAAGACATCCCACTCTACATAATGTGTTCCTTTAGGCTATGTTCTAGAAGACATCCCACTCCACATACATAATGTGTTCCTTTAGGCTATGTTCTAGAAGACATCCCACTCCACATAATGTGTTCCTTTAGGCTAGTTTCTAGAAGACATCCCACTCTACATAATGTGTTCCTTTAGGCTATGTTCTAGAAGACATCCCAACTCTACATAATGTGTTTCTTTAGGCTATGGTTCTAGAAGACATCCCACTCCACATAATGTGTTCCTTTAGGCTATGTTCTAGAAGAACATCCCACTCTTACATAATGTGTTCCTTTAGCCTATGTTCTAGAAGACATCCCACTCTACATAATGTGTTCCTTAGCCTATGTTCTAGAATACATCCCACTCTACATAATGTGTTCCTTTAGCCTATGTTCTAGAATACATCCCACTCTACATAATGTGTTCCTTTAGGCTATGTTCTAGAAGACATCCCACTCTACATAATGTGTTCCTTTAGGCTATGTTCTAGAATACATCCCACTCTAGATAATGTGTTCATTTAGGCTGTTCTAGAAGACATCCCACTCTAGATAATGTGTTCCTTTAGGCTGTCTTCTAGAAGAAATCCCACTCTACAAAATCTGTCATTTGACTATCATCATTATAGTGACATTTGCTGTGCTATCAAAAGTCTAGGTGAACAGAGGAAAACTAGAACAAAAAGTAAAGTCAAACGCTTCTTTATTAATTTGATAGAAAACATAAACAATACATACAGAATATACAGTATTTACACAGATGTTGATCATTTTGATAACTTTACAAAATGTAAAACATTTTAATTCTTGACATTTCAAACTGAAAACATATATTTACATATTTACATGCTTTTTATATTTTCAATTGCATAAATGAACAATGAACAACTCATAATTCAAGAAAATATGAAACTGACCTAAAAAAAACAAAATGCCAGCCTATTTAAGTTTCCATTGGAAATTCTAGAAATGTCTCTCAACTAGTAAGTCATATTGTGTAACATATACTAATTTTGTAAATAAAAAAAAACGACTCTCTAATTACCATTAAACAGTGTAAACATATATTCAGGCAGTCTTCAGTGCATTGACTCAACTGTGGTCATTCCTCAGGAATAGCACCCTCTCATGGTGCTCTCTGTTCCATCAAGTTCTCAATGGAACTGGTGTCATTAGTTCACAGATTTACTGCACACTCCTGAAAGGAAAAAACAACCATTATACTTATATCATCAATACATGTATTATTAATACAATTACTAATAAATACAGATTCAAGATATACTGATATACTGATGTACTGATATACTGATGTACTGATGTACTGATGTACTTAGGTACTGATATACGGATGTACTGATATAATACTGATGTACTTATATAATACTGATGTACTGATGTACCGATGTACTGATGTACTTATATACTGATATAATACTGATATAATACTGATGTACTGATATTCTGATGTACTGATGTACTGATATACTTATGTACTGATGTACTAATATAATACTGATGTACTGATATACTGATATAATACTGATGTATTGCTATACTGATATAATACTGATGTACCGATGTACTGATATACTGATATAATACTGATGTATTGCTATACTGATATAATACTGATTTATTGATGTACTGATGTACTGATGTACTGATATAATACTGATGTACTGAGTTACCGTGTATTTAATTTGTAATGAAGTTTGCATATGTAGTCCTCACCTTTGGTTTTTCATCCATTTCTCAATGTTATTCTTGACAATTGGAGCCTCTGGATTCAGACACTTTTTCCCTTCTACGTTTTTCAGAGTGACACTGAACACACAAGTAGAGAGAGAGTATTGTTAGAAGTTAGCCATCACAACTTTCCAACTGAGCATATAGAGAAATAATATTATCTTACTAGCAGGTGTAAATAATCTCAATTGGTTAAAAAGAAATAGCAACATTTACCATTATGTCCATCTAGTAAGCTAGGCACAATATGCAGGCGGACAGACAGACAGACAGACAAACAGATTTCTTACATGATCTCCATGTGCTGGCAGGAGTGGCTTGGGGCGTACACTTCAAGCTTCTCAATGAGAAGAGGTTTTACACGGTTCACCATTCCATTCAGACACTGGCACCGAGATTTAGAATGACCCACCTGGCCTGGGGATGACAAGAAAATGTTATGGCATGTTTGGTTATGGCATTATTGCAGCTAAGTACTGAACTCTTCATTCAGAAATCAAACCTAATATTTGACCACACTCCTCCCTGGCAATGCAAGTCGCTTCATATGCTGCAGATTTCTAATAAAGATAATAATTCAAGACATTTCAGAGATGTTACCTTCAACATTGACCAGGATCAGACAGGCCAGGAAGCTGATGAGGACCGTTGATGTCATTGTGTTGGTCATGGATACTGCTTCTTCAGTTTCTTCAAGAGTCTGGACGGACAGCTCAGTCAAGTGATAGAAGTTTTAAATGGAGGAGAGAAGTGATGGAAGTTGTGAATGGAGGAGAGAAGTGATGGAAGTTGTGAATGGAATAGAGCTTGGCTTGTATTTATACTGAATTTATATGACAGTCATCCAAGGAGAGGGGGAGAGAGGGGGGGGGGGGGTTCCCTTGTCTCTCAGCTGCTTTCTCTTTTTCCCTGCTTCTCCTTTCACACAGGAATTCCTGTTTCTCAGAAACACTCTCTCTGACAGTGAAATTTGAGACATTTTTAAGGCAGGGAGATGATGCAATCTGTCTTCCCTTTTGCATCCCAAATGGCACCCTATTCCCTATATGGTGCACTACTTTTGACCAGAGCACTATGGGCAATGATCGAAAGGAGTGCACTAAATAGCATTTGGGTGCCATTTGGGGCTAACGATACAGAAGTGAACCATGGCCTTCGTCACTACTTCTAAATGATTTCAAAGATAACGACATTAGGCAACCCTAAGACATTTTTAGCACCACTAAAGGCGTCCGTATAATTCCCATGCAAAACAGTTCGTTCATATATTGTGACAACATTTTGTGACGTTTTTGTGAAGTTTGGGTCTTCATCAAGGTTTTTTTCGGCTGTTCGTGCACACAATATTTTTCCCTGAAGCAAGCCGAAGTTTGGTAGCCTGTTTGTCGGTGATTGGTCAACAGTAGGGATTCTTCAATGAAGTGTGTGTTTTCATTCAATGAGAGACTAATCGTTTTCATGCAAATTTTTTCACTTGAGAAATACGGCACCCAAACATCTTAGTTAGATGTAAAATTGTTATAGATTTCTTTCGTTATCTTAGATTAATTCTGACTATTATGAGGCTACGGCGTCTCAAGAGGGACAAAGTACTATTTCCGCTTTTTCTAGTTTTCTTAGAGAAGGTCTTTTAAAGGAGTATGCGAGGAACAGATGTTCATGTCGCCTAGCCAGGTTCTGCTAGGAGCTAACCTAATGTAGCAGGCATTAAAGAAACGCCTGAAACTATACTGAACAAAAATATAAACGCAACGTGTAAAGTGTTGGTCCCATGTTTCATGAGCTGAGGAGTATTTCTGTCTGTAATAAAGCCCTTTTGTGGGTAAAAACTCATTCTGATTGGCCGGGCCTGGCTCCCCAGTGGGTGGGCCTGAAAGGAATATATATATATATAATATATACAGTGGGGGAAAAAAGTATTTAGTCAGCCACCAATTGTGCAAGTTCTCCCACTTAAAAAGATGAGAGAGGCCTGTAATTTTCATCATAGGTACACGTCAACTATGACAGACAAAATGAGGAAAAAAAATCCAGAAAATCACATTGTAGGATTTTTAATGAATTTATTTGCAAATTATGGTGGAAAATAAGTATTTGGTCACCTACAAACAAGCAAGATTTCTGGCTCTCACAGACCTGTAACTTCTTCTTTTAGAGGCTCCTCAGTCCTCCACTCGTTACCTGTATTAATGGCACCTGTTTGAACTTGTTATCAGTATAAAAGACACCTGTCCACAACCTCAAACAGTCACACTCCAAACTCCACTATGGCCAAGACCAAAGAGCTGTCAAAGGAGACAAGAAACAAAATTGTAGACCTGCACCAGGCTGGGAAGACTGAATCTGCAATAGGTAAGGCTTGGTTTGAAGAAATCAACTGTGGGAGCAATTATTAGGAAATGGAAGACATACAAGACCACTGATAATCTCCCTCGATCTGGGGCTCCACGCAAGATCTCACCCCGTGGGGTAAAAATGATCACAAGAACGATGAGCAAAAATCCCAGAACCACACAGGGGGACCTAGTGAATGACCTGCAGAGAGCTGGGACCAAAGTAACAAAGCCTACCATCAGTAACACACTACGCCGCCAGGGACTCAAATCCTGCAGTGTCAGACGTGTCCCCCTGCTTAAGCCAGTACATGTCCAGGCCCGTCTGAAGATTGCTAGAGTGCATTTGGATGATCCAGAAGAGGATTGGGAGAATGTCATATGGTCAGATGAAACCAAAATATATTTTTTTGGTAAAAACTCAACTCGTCGTGTTTGGAGGACAAATAATGCTGAGTTGCATCCAAAGAACACCATACCTACTGTGAAGCATGGGGGTGGAAACATCATGCTTTGGGGCTGTTTTTCTGCAAAGGGACCAGGACGACTGATCCGTGTAAAGGAAAGAATGAATGGGGCCATGTATCGTGAGATTTTGAGTGAAAACCTCCTTCCATCAGCAAGGGCATTGAAGATGAAACGTGACTGGGTCTTTCAGCATGACAATGATCCCAAACACACCGCCCGGGCAACGAAGGAGTGGCTTCGTAAGAAGCATTTCAAGGTCCTGGAGTGGCCTAGCCAGTCTCCAGATCTCAACCCCATAGAAAATCTTTGGAGGGAGTTGAAAGTCTGTGTTGCCCAGCGACAGCCCTAAAACATCACTGCTCTAGAGGAGATCTGCATGGAGGAATGGGCCAAAATACCAGCAACAGTGTGTGAAAACCTTGTGAAGACTTACAGAAAACGTTTGACCTGTGTCATTGCCAACAAAGGGTATATAACAAAGTATTGAGTAACTTTTGTTATTGACCAAATACTTATTTTCCACCATAATTTGCAAATAAATTCATTACAAATCCTACAATGTGATTTTCTGGATTTTTTTTCCTAATTTTGTCTGTCATAGTTGACGTGTACCTATGATGAAAATTACAGGCCTCTCTCATCTTTTTAAGTGGGAGAACTTGCACAATTGGTGGCTGACTAAATACTTTTTTTCCCCACTGTATATATATAATGTGTATATTTATGTTGTATTATGCAGGGCTCATTTGAAAAATAAACCTAGGTCTCAATGTGTCTTCCCTGTTAAAATAAAGGTTAAATAGAATTTAAACATGCTGGTCTTGATGAGAAGAAAAAATAACTGTCGGAGGAGAGCCTTTTCTGCACTGTTCAACCAATCCACTAAATGTGGAAGAGGAGTTAAGATGGAGTGTCACCTTGTTAATGTCCAAAAGCAGAAGTCTTGTCAAAGGCTCTCTCACAGATGAGCCATATACAGTGGGGAAAAAAAGTATTTAGTCAGCCACCAATTGTGCAAGTTCTCCCACTTAAAAAGATGAGAGAGGCCTGTAATTTTCATCATAGGTACACGTCAACTATGACAGACAAATTGAGAAAAGAAAATCCAGAAAATCACATTGTAGGAGCTTTAATTAATTTATTTGCAAATTATGGTGGAAAATAAGTATTTGGTCACCTACAAACAAGCAAGATTTCTGGCTCTCACAGACCTGTAACTTCTTATTTAAGAGGCTCCTCTGTCCTCCACTCGTTACCTATATTAATGTGGTCCTCTGTAGCTCAGCTGGTAGAGCACGGCGCTTGTAACGCCAAGGTAGTGGGTTCGATCCCCGGGACCACCCATACACAAAAATGTATGCACGCATGACTGTAAGTCGCTTTGGATAAAAGCGTCTGCTAAATGGCATATTATTATTATTTTATTATTATTAATGGCACCTGTTTGAACTTGTTATCAGTATAAAAGACACCTGTCCACAACCTCAAACAGTCACACTCCAAACTCCACTATGGCCAAGACCAAAGAGCTGTCAAAGGACACCAGAAACAAAATTGTAGACCTGCACCAGGCTGGGAAGACTGAATCTGCAATAGGTAAGCAGCTTGGTTTGAAGAAATCAACTGTGGGAGCAATTATTAGGAAATGGAAGACATACAAGACCACTAATAATCTCCCTCGATCTGGGGCTCCACGCAAGATCTCACCCCGTGGGGTCAAAATGATCACAAGAACGGTGAGCAAAAATCCCAGAACCACACGGGGGGACCTTGTGAATGACCTGCAGAGAGCTGGGACCAAAGTAACAAAGCCTACCATCAGTAACACACTACGCCGCCAGGGACTCAAATCCTGCAGTGCTAGACGTGTCCCCCTGCTTAAGCCAGTACATGTCCAGGCCCGTCTGAAGTTTGCTAGAGTGCATCCAGAAGAGGATTGGGAGAATGTCATATGGTCAGATGAAACCAAAATATAACTTTTTGGTAAAAACTCAACTCGTCGTGTTTGGAGGACAAAGAATGCTGAGTTGCATCCAAAGAACACCATACCTACTGTGAAGCATGGGAGTGAAAACATCATACTTTGGGGCTGTTTTTCTGCAAAGGGACCAGGACGACTGATCCGTGTAAAGGAAAGAATGAATGGGGCCATGTATCGTGAGATTTTGAGTGAAAACCTCCTTCCATCAGCAAGGGCATTGAAGATGAAACGTGGCTGGGTCTTTCAGCATGACAATGATCCCAAACACACCGCCCGGGCAACGAAGGAGTGGCTTCGTAAGAAGCATTTCAAGGTCCTGGAGTCTCCAGATCTCAACCCCATAGAAAATCTTTGGAGGGAGTTGAAAGTCCGTGTTGCCCAGCGACAGCCCCAAAACATCACTGCTCTAGAGGAGATCTGCATGGAGGAATGGGCCAAAATACCAGCAACAGTGTGTGAAAACCTTGTGAAGACTTACAGAAAACGTTTGACCTGTGTCATTGCCAACAAAGGGTATATAACAAAGTATTGAGAAACTTTTGTTATTGACCAAATACTTATTTTCCACCATAATTTGCAAATAAATTCATTACAAATCCTACAATGTGATTTTCTGGATTTTTTTTCCTAATTTTGTCTGTCATAGTTGACGTGTACCTATGATGAAAATTACAGGCCTCTCTCATCTTTTTAAGTGGGAGAACTTGCACAATTGGTGGCTGACTAAATACTTTTTTTCCCCACTGTATTTAACTGGATGTATAAATGCAACACAATCTCACACTCAATTCGTGCAAGTATGTACAAAAAGTATTTCAGAAGATTTAGTGAGTTTTTGTTTGGCTTAATTTGTGTGAAAATACACACAAATAATCCATTCACTACCATATATGGTGATGAGGGGAAGCCCAGTGACCGGCAGTGGGAGAAGATGGAGCGAGATGGATTTTGCTAATGTTCTCCCCGATTAAATATTTGATCTCAATACAGTTTTCTGT